TAATGGAAATATTGTATTTTGTATACGAATTGTTTCACTAACCAATATTCTAACATCATCTTAAAAGGCGCGCCAATAATACTAGGCACATAATTTTTATGACCTGATGTGTCTATCGACGCTTAACTGTTTCAAAATAAGCACGATCACATTTAGTGATTTCCCTGTAAATTGGGAATTATAATAAAATATATTGAATATAAGTAAAATAAATGTATTTGCATGTTATTATTATTATCAAGCGCCCATAACAAATACCATGCCAGTCTTTGTTCTTTAGCTTCATTTTCATATTTATCTGATCAAAAAGATGGAGTAAGTTTCGGGTTGCTCTCGGTGATTTAATAATAACAGTTGTGATGGTGATTGTTCGAGGAAGGAAAAAAAAAAATTACCATTCCTATCAAAAACCTTTTTCATATAAAATGTAATTTTAGTATATACAGAAATAAATTGATGACCGTTTCTCGGAATGATACAGGATATTACCGCATATAGTGTATCTAATTACAAATTGAAATATATAATCGTAAATAGTCCTTTGATCAAAGAGCAACAAATGGAATTTAACTGACCTTCATGTCCGATATAGTTGAAAATGCTCTTTCCATATAATTCTTCAATAACACAGGCTCCACCTTTTTCGAATTCTCTTTTAGAAATTTCACTTATATTCTCTTCATGAATAATGATCTAGATGCGTATACGTCTTAGAAAATTTCTCCAAGCTTCGAAATGCTAAAATTTACGCGTCAATTTTCTTTGAAGTTAGAACTTTTGACGTCATTTTAGAACAATACTACTCGACAACAGCGTTGGTAGCATTCTCAACTATAATGAAAGAACCCTCAGTGAATTTGAGCTCAATTAGTATAGCAGCATCTGAATCCAGCTGGAAAGCACGTAAACATTTGCTGGTAAACGGAATTAAGTATCGTGACGTTACTAACGATCGCTGATATATTAAATATTAACTGAGCAAGCATTAACGCGTTGATTTTAAAAACGATAGATTTTCTTAGTTTGAGGATTTTGACCCCTGTCATCATTTTTATTACTTTTAAATAATGAAATCATATAAAACTAGGGAAACGGGGACCCGTTGTTAAGTCCGGAACTTTATCTGCAATTAGCATTGACTCAATTATTGAGCGGGACACCTCGTGTAACCTTAGGCCTGTACATATATAGTCCTTCACTTCGTTCCGGACTAATGATGATAATTTTCAAAATTTTGGCCTGATTTAGAATTTGCAATCATCGTAATGCTGGCTGACATTAAGTTTGGCCAGAATTTGCGAATCGATCGTAACGTTGGTTGATCTTGCATAATTCTGTCCAAATCACACGCAGAATTCATCCTCATGTTCTGATTTTGGTAATTGGGAGTATTACTCTACCTTTCTATTTCTATTTTTATAGTTAGTTTTTTTTATTAAATTAAAATGTTTACGCTTTATCTTAATAAAGATTATATTCATTGAATAAAAAAATTATAATTTAGGATACAGTTAATAGGACCTTTTTGGTGAAACCGTTATTAAACTTGGAACTGAACATCATAGATATTATTCCTGGCGTGAACAATTTTCACATTGTTGGATACTTTATATATGATGATGATAAGAGTTTATCATTAATACATAGCTCAAAAATATTGGATCACAAACGTAAGTTTTTCAAAAATGTTCAAT